TTGTGTTCTTTGTTAAGACGGCACATGCTTCTGGGGGGGGGGGGGAGGGGCACATCCCTTGCTGAGCTCTGTAGACATCTGTTTATCACCCTGTGATATGACTCTAATTTTCTTTTCTTAGCATGAGCACCTGTACAGTTTTGCAATGGTCATAAAGAATTACCCAGTCCATTCAAAATGTACTGGCAGATGTGACCTCCTGTTGAAAGTGTGTTTCCCTGGCTGCCTTAGCTGTGTGAAATGGCTCTTAATATATCCACTATTAATGTCAGCCCATGATTCTTTGTTTTCTTACTACTGGTGGTTTTACAAGCCTTTTCATAATCTTCAGCAGTTTAAATGAAGTCCCCTCTCATCCTCTGTCTTCTGGTTGTCATAACACTACTATTTGAATATCTCTCATTGTACCTGTTTTCTAACCATCGTCCTTGCCTTTGGCTTTCTGAGTCTTATCTCTGTCTTCCTTAAATTCGCCACAGCTAGACACAAGGTTCTAAATAAGCACAAACGATTCCTCAAAATTCACAGAACCAGAGCTTATGGCAAGGCAGGATCATCAGAATATGTCCTCCATCCTCTTGTTTATGACAGACTGCTGCATTTCACCCAACTAATGAAGTATCAGTAGGCTGACTTTGACCAGATCTACCAGCCATGAGGCTTGCTACAGAAATACAAAGATGAGATGAATTCATCACTTCTCGTGACGGTCAGGTCTAATGATTAATCTCATCCAAAGAAACATGCCTGCATTTTCATTTTCTTGAACATGAATGGCTTTCACTCCAAGGCACTTGTTCTTGCTACAGCAAGATTAAAATGGGCGTTAGCTCCCATTACTTACACATGCTTATGAACTCACCTCTGAGGCTTCTCTTTGATCATAAATACCCACTGACTTAAATCTTCCATGCTGAAGCACTTTTTTCCAGCCATTTTCTCCATTTTTTTCCAGCTTCCCCTTTATAATATGCATACCAGAATGGCTCCTGAACAGCAATGTCACGGTACAGCAGTGGCTTGACCATTTATACTTACTGCATCAAACAACGTCATTCACTTTACAGACACCTTTGGCAACCAAACCCAATGCTTTCAAGGCAGTATTGTGGGACACTCCCACAGCTTGAAATCTCTCCAGTAGCAAAAGGGAAAAGTAGGTAGTTCTATCCTAAAGGCATCAACTTAAAATCTCTCCCAAAGTGCCTCTTCTCGTGTCCCTTATGGGTTACAGTTAGTGACAGATTCCAAAAACTGAATGCAGGCAGGCCTATGTATTTTAGATGCTACCAATCAACTGGAAAATCCCCTAGGCACTTTCTCAAATGAACCAGAAGGCTAGTAATTATTCCTGCCCAACAGTAATCCCCTCAGCAACCTGCTATTAATCCTCTCTCATCTGAAACATCCATTTACAACACAATTTTCAACTGCTTACTCAATTTCATGGTCTCTGAACTTCGCCCTTGTTTTATGACTACTGATCCTCCCTTATGGTTTTCCAGGGATCTTGTCAAAAGCTATCTGGAAATGCAGCACATCTGCAGCAGTCAAGTTGGTTGTCTCAGAGACTGTTCCCAAAGAGCTGGATTCAGTTTGCCTGGCTGGAGTGGTGTGCTTGTAGTGGGTTTACCCAAGAAAAGAGGAGCTCAGCTGGCTCTGTAAGCTTTGTCAGATGAGGAACTGGGTTTGTTTGCCTATCTGGTAACTCCCCCGAGCTGAATTTGTCCCCCAGCCTGTGTTCCTTAAGCAGAACTTCTTTAAGTCCTAAAAAACCCCAGACCTCTTAAATAAATGCTTGGCCACAATATATTCAGTCTAACATATTTCATCTCTCTTAACTCCAAGAAAATAGGCAGTCCAGGACTTTAGGTCAGCAGCCTTGAACAAGAATTGTTTTCATTATTTTTCAATGCCTATCTGGCAGGTGCTGTACATGTGTTGTACTCTGTCCCCTGGGAGGTTACAGAGCCAGAAGAAACAGGGCTGGCATGCAGCAACCTGGAATACTAGCTGCCCAGAGTGGCTGTGGAGTCTCCATCCTTTGCGACATTTAAAACCTGACAGCACACAGCCCTGAGCAACCTGCTCTAGCTGAGCCTGCTTGAGCAGGTAGGTTGGACTAGGCAGTCTCCAGAGGTGTCTTCCAACCTCAACCATACTGTGATTAACAGGTAATGCACTTTTCAAGCCTTCTTAGTTTGAACCCATAGAAATTTTCCATAGAAATTAGTGGGTCCATTTAGAAATTTCTTGTGTATAACTGATTTTACAGCATCTATGAACTGGCTTTGCTTAGTCAGTGCACATTTACCCTTTGAACTAGACCCTAAAAATATGCAGAAGTCTGCAGGCTCGGCCCAAAACACTTTTAGTCCATCCCCTTTCCCCACAGCAAGATCAACTAGCCACAAATTATTCCTAAAGCCATTGCTTATGTCACCCGTCAGCCCTCAAGAATCTGGACATTATCTGAATATCAAACCTAGCTGAGCACAATTTTTTTTGCTTAATGAAGTTCCAGTGCCTTCTTCCTCTAGATGCTCTTGACAGTCAGGTGACACTGAGCTGAGAGCTGCTTTCTTTCCTCCACATAGCAGAGCAAGCAATTTGTTTCCCACACAATTTCCCTCAACTGTGCCCAACTGCCCTTTGCAAATATTTAATACTGGGCAAACTGAAACTGCTGGTTATTATCAACCCATGAGATCTGGCAAATTACTTCACTTCCATGTGTGAAATTAGAGGACGAGCAGTATTATTTTAAGGTTTACATTTAGTATAGATGGTGTGCTGACTGCCATCAGAGCGCTCATTTTCAGCTTTCAAGGAACATTAAGATCTGTGGGCCATACTCAAGACACCTTCTCTAAATACTTAACATTGCTAATGCAACTGCTTCTCTCCAGTGAGCTGGCAAGTGGCAGCCTTGCACAGCAGATGGACTGAATCACACACTAGCAACCTCCTGAATTCCAATGCCACAGCAGTCATGACATCAATGTTGGGTACCTGAGTCAACTCCCATTGTGATTTGTGATCACTCACCAGCACACAGCTCAGGTTTCCAGCCTTCTGTTCCTTGCTCCCCCCACCCCAGCCCTCCTCACTTGATCAGTGATGCATTTGCACACCTCCAATTCCTAGACTTCTCTGCAAACATGGAGAATTCTTCTCAATTGTTTTCTAAGAAGCACATGTGCTTAAAAGTGAAAGCCAGGAAATGGTACAGGAAGAACTAGGACAGAAAAATGTTCCCAGTATGTAACCTGCTGATGTTCTGCAGTTCCAGGGTCCAGTGGGGCTCCAGGTCCTGTCCCCGCAGTAGGATCAAGCTGTCTTTGGTTGTGATCAGCAGGTTGCTGCAGTTTGTGTCAGATGACTTCATTGTCTGCAGGAAGTCAACACCCCCACTGGGACAAAGGGAAAGCAGAGAGGAGATTCTGAGGCTTGTATCTGCACATCTCAGCACTAGCTACCTGGCAATTCATCCTACCTAAGATTTGAACTGTTCTTGGAGAGGCCCATCTTTTCCCCTAGCTTCCTGTGAGGGTTCCTCAGTTAAGTCTCTTCCGAATATCTTGAGTTACTACAGAAAGCATAGAGTGTGGGGTTTCACATTTTCTCCCTCCCTTTATTTCTATCCAGGCTGACTGTGATCACAATTTGGCAGCGAAGAAGGAGATGAGAAATCCAGGCCTACAGTGCTGTACACAGACTGAGCTTCTGAGCTTCCCAAAGGGACTCCATTAGCAGGAAACACTTTTTTTTTTAATTTTTTTTTTTTTTAATCCAGGTATGCATAAGGGGTGGAAGAAAGGAACATGGGACAGCAGAAGCAAAGATTTCCCTTTTACCATACTCTGCACTTCTTTTGCTAGGACAACAACAGGACAGAGAGGAATAATGGGTTCTCCAGAGTACAGTCATCAACTGGGCAATGAAAAGGACAGTACTGAATTAGGAGGGACCATCTCCAGGACCATTAAGAAGTACCCACCCTCCCCATGCTCTCCCAGCAGAAGCAAGATGATGAGTCCATCTCCTACCTGTAAATGTCAATGAGCTCTGACAGGTTGACAGATCTGCGCTTTTCCCACTCTGGCTCCTCCTGCTGCAGCATTGCAGGAAAGCTGTCCCGGTTTCTGGCTTGGGTAAAGATATCTCTCAGGGCAACTGCTTGAACATTACCTGCCAGGAAGAGTAAATATGAAGAGTCCTGCCTGTGAAAGTTAACTCTCTAGTAGCACAGAAGGTCCTTGGGACCACTGTGTTTGTGGCAGAAGGCAAAGAAATGCCCAGAGCTGGAACTTCCCTGGCATGTTGTGCCTTTGGGAAACTCCAAGGTATTCCAGGCTAGCAGGCTCCTGCACTTTTCCACACCATGGCAGTGAGACTTGTTGCTATGTCCTCTACTCCTAGCTTTTACAGTAGAAGGAGTGGTAGACATATCCCAGGGATGCTCTGGGCCATTTTAGGTAAAATGAACGCTTTCTCAGTAAGGTGAAGTGCTAGAAAGTTAAGGTGCACATTACCAAAACCAAACAGGATGTAGATGGCTCCCTGGCTGGTGATGTGGACTTGGGGGCCAATCACTTTCCCTTCTCCATTGGTGCTGTACTTCACAGGCCCACCCAAAGCAGTCCCAGTCTTCCCTGACACCAAGATGAAAAACACATCAGGCTGCAAAGAGAGAGAGGTAGAGATTTTTAGCAGTGCTTTCATGCACTTGTGCTCTCAGTATCTTCACTGATCCTCACAGCATGAAGGTCCACTGCTCTTTCCCCCCACAGCAAGGTCTAGCTAGTGGTCTCTTTCTCTTTGCTCAGTCTGGCTTCCTGGGAGTCTTACATTCATGCTTTTCTCTTGACTGCTAATGCATCAAAGACAGAAGGGACTTCAAAAACCTAAACTCCTCTAATAACATTAATACTAGAATTGTGGGGAAGGATGAGCATAGAGGAACTCTGCATCTGAATTAATCACATAAGTATTTCTTTCTTTTGGATAAGCTGAAGGCTCCTTTCTCCAGAGACCTATCTCAACATGGCTCCCTACACTGCTGCTAAACACTCACTTCAAGCCAAGCATTCACTGAACAGAAACAGATGATTCTCAAGTCTCAGTCATGGGTAAATAATGACCTTTCTGTTCATTCCCTGCTGACAAGAAATGCAGGTATTGTCATTATTGCTTGATCTCACTGCTATGACCTATTGAAAGAAAAAAGGGTCCTTTTCAGGGAAATCAAAGGAAACAAAAATTAGGGGTTCTTGCAGCTCCTGTTAAAGCTATTCCACACCAGGCACCCTGTTCTTCCTCTAGATTGTCAAGGGCCTTTCAGACCTTGAGCAGATATATGCTGTACCTGTGTCTCTTTGAGGCCCAGAACAACAATATCCCTAATCCCATCTCCATCTACATCTGGAAGAGTTGCAGCCGGTGCAGCCAGGATCCCACTTGAAAGGTGGATGGAGTTCAGTGTCCAGATGGTCTTGCCTGTTGGAAGAGCAGGATGAAAGAAGCCTGCAGCACTTGGGGAACCAGTGGGCATCCCCAGAGGATTCCACAAAACTTTCTTGAAGGAGAGAGCAACAGAGGTTGTTTCCACTGTTATCTGAGAAAAGACAAGCCTACAAACCGGGGCAAGCTGCATAGGGAAGCAAAGTTCTTCCCCCACCACTTCTTCAGATTGGCTTCGAGTCATCCCTCAAGTCTTGCTGTGCATCTCTCTAGAAACACTTTCTGAAATAGCAGAGAATATCTGAGGTTCACTCTTGGAAGGAGAACCTACAGGAGAGTGCTGCTTTGCAAGACAGTAGTTGTTTCCTCAGTCAGGAGTAAAGCCTGTAGGTAGATGCCAGGAAAGGGAACAGATGGGCAGTTCTGATATTCAAAGTGCAAATCTGTGTCTCAGTTAAATTCCCAGCAGTAAATAGCCACTCCAGCATGGCATGCTCACTCCACCTCAGGGTGAAAGCATGTTAGCAGACACGATGTCAAATGGTTTGGTAGGACAGCATGGACTCAGCTGGAAACTCAGTAAAACCTGATTTGCAAACTGGCAAATGAACTTAAACACCCCCCAAAAAAAGCAAAATCAAACTCAGTGCTTTTACTTCTTCATGATTCTTTTGCCAACACTTCTGCTTTTTCAATCAGAGTTTAAAAATGCTTTTCTGCTGCTAATGCTGTGTAGAATAGTGTTTGCCTCTGCACGACAAAGGAAACCAAAGGCCAGACCTGCAAACCCTTATGCACATTACTACTACTGCTACATTACTACTACTGCTACTACACACAACACTACTAGTAAAAAGAGACAGGTTCCAGGCCATGAAAACACTGTGCAAGTAATCTGGTCCCTAAAAGTTAAGTGTCACTGCTCACTGACAGGATATGAAACTTAAACCCAAGGTTTCTTGTACCTATCCATTCTCTGTTGATACTAAAATCATCCCTATACCTACCTATGAATATTTCTGCCAGTGAATTAGTGTGGTAGAAAAAACAGCAATCAGAGAATGGAGATACACATGATCAAGTGATTAAAAATGCAATATTCACTCACATCTAATCAATTCTTCTACAGGCTTAATTTCTCTGGAAGGTAGCATATGTCCTTACATAACTTCTTCAAGAATGGTGTTCAGCTTTTCAGTGCTTTTAGGTAGGTGTGAGTCGTACTAACAGCTCAATACTGATGAGAACATACCTTAACATATCCTTTATGTCATAGGGGTGCTACAGGTTAAGATGAACACTCAGAAATGTTCTGAGATGGTAAGATGAAGATGCTGCCACAGAGCAGCAATGGTTTGGATTCTCTCTTACCCTGGGTAACTAGAAACTCCTTAGTGTTTTGACCCTTTCCTGTGTGTCACTAGACAACAACCACCATGAAGTGCCAGCACTGAATCATTTATTATTAGCCCTTTAAAGAAAACATAAAAGCAGTAGCATATTTCTAATACACTGGTAGTTGACTTTACCTGTGGAGGCACTGAGAAGGCTGAGGAATTTTGATGTTCCTGTAACAAGGCAGACAGGCTCTGCAGGTGACCGCAGTGACAGCCCTTTGCACTGCACACTCTGAGTCTCCTCTGGAAGCTGGATGGACCACAGGGTGCTGCCATTCATACCAGAAAGCGCCACCACAGTTACAGAGGGCCTAGAGACACCTGGAAGAGGCAGGAGAGAAAGTGTGAAATCATTTGGCATCAAGAGGCTATGTCCACACTGCCTTTGGTCTCTGTGTTTGAGTTCAAGCTCTAGGTCCTGGAGCTGAGTGGCTCAAATCAGCCACATCCACACTGCCTGAAAGCAAAGGTCAAATCCCACCCCATGGCTAAGCAGAGCCTAAGAGCAATCTCCAGATAAGCTGGGCTGTCAGTCAACAGCACAGACAACCACAAAGGTTGGACCTGAGCTCACAGCAAGAAATGTGGTCTGCTGGGCGCAGAAGAACCAAGATCTTGGGGGTAACCTGCTTAACTGTGTTGAATTGCCTGTCTGAAATGTGCTGCTGTCAAACCAGACTGATCCTTCTGATCTCTTATCCCTCAAGATACTGACAGGAAGCCTTAAGTGATTCTCAAGCCAGATGTCACCTCATTTGGAAGTCCTGAGCTGTCTGTAATTCTAGGGCAGCAGAAGGCGATTGGCTATCAGAGAGCTTTTTTTCTTTGTTTTCCAAGTAAGTTTTATTGTCGTGGAGAGCACAGTGAACCCAACCAATTGGTGCAACTCAGGAGTCTTTTCCTAATTCACCAGTTAGCACAAAATAATTGTGAGAAAAAGTGCTCTATGCTGTTTCAATTGACTGTTGACTGTGATTCCAAACCTGAGCAACTTTTAGTTCAGCTTGCCCTCAGACATAATTGTGGTTACTGTAATCTCCACCTGGTACACTCATATCACAATGTAATATGAACTCCTGTACATTGCAAGATAACAACAGTCCCAGTTGACTCCTGTCTTACTGGCAAAACAATATGTGACCTGACTACATGAAGGGCCCATCTGGGCCACTGGCTAAAACCAAGTCTGAGCCCACTCTAAATCAAACTCAGTCTTTCCTCAAACTGAAAATCACCTGGCTTATGCTAGGGAGTTGCCCCAGCCCAAGTCCTCCTCATTGGCTTGGCAAGGATAAAGAACAGCTAACTCCTGAATGCAGCTCACAGCTGTTGTGTGTACAAGCTAGAGAAACAGCTAACAATGTCATAGCTTACTCCATCAGGTACCTATCTCAAGCTTATCTCTGCTGGACACCGCATGAATGCTCCAAGCACAAGCTACAGCGGGGGTGATACCCAGATATAAGGGTTTAGGGTTGTGACATGTTTACATCTGCTTTAGTGCTTGCTTTTTGTCTTCCAGCATAGCTATAGCCCAGGATGGAGCTAGATAGGATTAGTTCCATTCAAAGCACGCTGAGGACTGTATATATGAAAGATAAATACAATGCAATGGCAAAATAGAGAACACAAGGATAACCTCTACAAACTGAATGCAGCCTTTATGTCAATAGTATCTCTCTCTCGCTTTCTTTTTTAACTTAATCTAAAATTTTCTTGCTGCTCATAGATTTATTTCTATAGGACTTGCTGTGATATACTGAGGGCCTTGCTTAGGCTTTTCCCTACATTCTAACTATTTTTATTACCCTGCTCTTTGGAGAACCAAGGCATTTTGCTCCCACAAGAGTTCTGTGCAATGAATGCTTGCTCCCTGGATATGACTTTGAGACTGAACAGATTCATGAAATCTCAGGTGATGCTAAGCTGGGCAGACACAGTATGGCAGGCAGCTGGGAACCTCCAGGACTTCAGAAGCCCAGTGCAATAGGATGCTACTGGACTTGGCAGCCTCTGTGTAACAGTGGCCAGTATCAGCAGGCTACTGCTATGTTACCTGAGGGGTGTGAAGGTTAACAGAGAAAGCAAAAGGAGCCAGGAGGAAGAAACTGAGGGATACCTGCTAAAGAGCCAGGCACAGTAGCTTCCCCACCATCAGCCAGACTATTATCTGTGAATTACCAACAATTTGGAGCCTTAAGGATATGAAATGACCAGGAGAAAAGGGCAGTAAGGTGAGGGTGTTTCCTGCAACAATGACCTACAGCTGCTCTAAAAAAATCCATAATGCTCCCTGTTGGCAAGCAACCGGCTAGATCAGAAGAACCAGAGCTCTCCAACAGTCAGCTCTGCCATCACTGTTCCTGTCACCAACTACCCTTGGTAATGACCGGGACATTGGACAACAGATCAGGAAAGAGCCCAGACTCTACCACTGAACCTCATCTGTGACCTCTGTCAAGCAGCTTCCACCTTTGTGCCTGTAACATGAAGGTAGTTAGACTGAGCTCTTTTGTGAAGGGCTCTGAGAGATAACAAGATTGGGGAAAAAAAAACACCTTATTTTCAATTGCTATTTGTAGAGTAATGCTTTCTGATCACTTTATCTCTGCCCCCAAACTAAGTGTGCACAAATACAGGACAAAGAGGTGGACTTGTCCCAAGATGAGATAAAGGGAAATAGTTGATCCAGCAGCTATGGGAGCACAGGTTTGTTATTAGCAGCATGACAAAGCACAGGCACAGCACACCAACCATTTTAAGGAACTCTGAAAAGAGCAATGCAGTGAATTTGCAGTGGCAGAACTCTCCCCACACATAAGACAAACATACAAAGGTCTGTACCGACAAATACAGAAAGAAGAATGGAAAGGAGCTGCTGTGCTTACCCTTGACGCTAGCATTCATCAAGGCAGTGAAGGCAATGAGGATGTCAGGTAGACCATCACCATTCACATCACACAGCTCCAGTGGGGATAACACACCACCTGCAACATCACAGAGAATCACTGCACTGTTGTTAAAAAGGCCACCCAGCCCATTTTCCACACTGGGAGAGGAGGACAGGAGGACTGGCCCAGGAAAGAGACTCGTGGACAGCCAAGCCTCAGAGTCTGCTAGGGAATCACCAATGCCAAGCAGCTCCCACCACTGCATGGAAAGGCAGACACATAGCAACTAGGAAAGGAAAGGGGAAAATGGAAGAGCTAACAGAAAAGATGTCTGCTTCCCACTTAATGTTCTGAGGTGATGTGGTAGCCACATATATCACAAAGGCTGAGATTTGGAAGCCAGGAGCAGAAAGCAAGGAGGGAGAGACATATCTAGATCTGGCAGAAATTATTCACAAACCACTCTTACTTTACTGCAGAAGTCAGAATAGAAGATACTTTAGAAATGTGGACCATACAGGATGACCAAATGCTCATTTATGGATTCAAGCAGGAGAAGACGACAAAAGAAATAAGGTTAGTTAAGCCAGCTAGGAGACACAGAGACTTCTATCCCTCTACTCCCAAATACACCCACACACTTCAGCATGGAGGTGCTGGTGAAACCCAGGATGCAGAGAGGGAGGCACTACATTTTAAAGTGTGCCGGGCCATCTCCATCTGGAACAGAGTGCACCATCCAGACTAAAAGGCAGGATGGGAGACAAGTCAAAATGGTTTTTGGTGTTGGCAGAAACGAGATTTTGTGGCACAGTTATCTACTGATGCCAGATTTCACAGGCCTCAGCTTAAAGATTGAGTAGGACACAGCCGCCTGTGTTACCTTGGAGCATCTGCAGTGGTGAGGAAGGGCCTCTGCTCCGACCTGGATCTCCCAGATAGGTCTCTCCCGCCGATGCCCAGCCTGGGAGCTGCCACCTCCCCCACGCCAGATGCAGTCCCTGGGGCTTTCTCACCTGCTCCCTGACCTAGGTTGCGGTTCCAGGTGTTATGCAAGTCTCTAGGGGGACAGGGAATTAGAAATGCGCACACCAACACAAGAATCATCGAGACCACCACAGTAAGCAAAAAGATTGCTGTGCGCAGGTATGGCATGAGGGAGGGAGCAGCCTTCTGCTCCAAACTCCCAGCTGTTTCTGCAGGATAACCCTCAGGTGCGCTCTCTGATGTGTGCTGCTTTGTCATCCCAACCTCCACATCAGAGTCAGGGTCCTGCACCTCCTCAGGAGGGCTCTTCCCGTTCTTGACCCCCCCGTTCTTCTGGATGTTGAGTACCAGGTCATCTTCACTTTCATCACTGTCAGCCTGAGTGAGGGGATCGTATTCCCCAAGGTCCGGGCTCTTCTTTCCTGAGGAAAGAGATAGAGAGACACAATAAAGCATGAGTTCCTCACTTTTTCAGGATCTCAGTGAAGAAAAGGCTGCAGTGGAGAGTGATGCAGAAGGGAAAACAGCACAGTCTGCATTTTGTGTGGCTCCAAGTGAAAGGTGTGAGACAAAAGACAGGGTCTGTCCATGTTTCAGAGTAGCAGCTGCAGGAAAAAAGATGCTGACAGTTTATTTCTCCAAGATAAAGGTGTATATATATAGTATCTACACACACACACACACACACACATACGTATGTGTATATGTATGTATATATATGGAATTCATGGCTGGTTTAATTCTAATACTTTCCTGTTTGGTAATGAGACACACTGACATGAAGGCATGCTTAATGGTCTGAGTACGTAAACCGCAGCATTCTCTTGACTTCAGACTCTGAACTCCTTTAGCGTTTGCCAGCCTCTAATCTCAACACAGATCCTTTTCTCTTGCAGTCTGTATTCTCTGAGGGGGCCTCCCTCTGCAGCTCATTTTTCCCCTGCTCCTCCTGCCTGGTCCAAGCAGCACTGCTGCCTTCTAGGTTGCCACATCTGCAGTCCTGCTTCATGAGGGAGAGAAGGAACAGAGTACCTCACAGTTTCCCTGCAGTGCTGGTAAAAATGGATATCAATTCCCTGACAAGGAGGGCAAAGTCATTTTGCCCTTTTGGCCCAGTAACACGCTGGTCTCTGAAGCAATCAAGGCTGCTCCTCTAACACACCACCTTCTCCACATAGCTCAGCACTGCGAGAGAGTGTGCTCCAGCCCCTGCAGTAAGAAACCACAGTGCTCTTGCTCTGTTCTCACTCCCACCAGAGCTGACAGCTTGTGCTTGGCCTTGCCAGAACAGGGAACTTGGTACTGATGCCTTCAGGTGGTGGTACAAGAAAGTAGCTTAGCTTTAGGTGTCTTCCCCCCAGATGCCTGGCACATGGACGATCTCTCCCCTCAAGCCCTAGACAGCCACAGTGAGTATGATGAGGGCAGGTGCAGAGCCCAGTTGTACACGCTGGCGTAAGGCCAGGGCCATCTGTTTATGGGGGCAGGCAGGATAACACAGACTCGCTGCCCTGAGCTACGAGTGGAGGATCACGTCTCAGGGAGCTGCCCTGCGCCACCAGGCTGGGCATGGAGCCACGGCTACTGCTCCAATGATTGCAGGGCCTCAGTCTGTTTCTCTCTCTCTCCTATTCCTAGGTGGAATTTTGCTGTCCCAAATATCTGCCTCATTTCCCTTTGCCTAAAGCTGACCCGAGACAGGAGCTAACTTGTGTCTGAAGATGCCTGAAGTAATACATGCAAGGCATAAATAACAAGGAAAAATACACAAGCTGCAACCACTCTCAGACACTAAGATGACGGAAAGGCTTTACAGAGCGGAAATTCAAGGGCTTTCATGGTTATTCTTCTGCATAAGATAATACACCTTACTTCTGGTTTCCCTACTGAAGGCAGACTCACAGTTACAGACATACTGTAATATCTAGTTAAGTGCAATACACCAGAATCTATTTTGCAGCACATGGATCTCATTTCTTGTCCTGCAAAAGGACCTTCACTTCCCCTTCCTGTACCACTTATAGCTGGTATTTCAGTATCAATTTCAGGATTTAAGAAAAACTGTCAATCCCACTGAGGACCAAATGCCCCACACTAAGTAGAGCAGCCAGGACAACCAACCCACAATGAACAGAGGGAAATAAAGATATCCAACAAGATCAATTATCTAAATCAAACCCTTCCTTTCTGAACTATGGGTTTCTACAAAAGACTCACATCAAAACAATCTGGTGCATATACACACTCCAAAAAGCTGTGCCGTGCAGAGGCAGAGCACCCAGCTTAAAGACACTACATTCCTATGGGATAGTCCAGTGTATCTGTGTGAGACACTGCATTGTTTCACACAGATCTGCCCTAAACATGTCTTCAAAGTATGGGCTTTTCAGTAAGTCTTTATAACCTTGGCTCCATCCTGTAAGCAGCACAGAAGGCCACCAACCTTGGTGGCACACAGCTCTCTGCTCAGAGACTGCAATGGCAGCGCAGTGTGAATTTCTCAGATGTCCATACAGTAGGTTGTGCTGACAAGCTGCTGAAAGAGTACTCAGTGAAAACAACAAATTCCAGAGAGGGCTCGCCGGCAGGGTTATTTGCAGATTCTCTCTACAGATCCAGATGTGCCAGTTCAAGCCAGGTCAGAGTGGTATGAAAAGCAAATGCTGCTAGCCCAAGAGTAAATGGTATTTAGCCTGGGAAGTCAAAGTCAGACAGTTATGTTAACCACACTGCTCCCAGTTTTGGAAACTGGTGTGCTTTGAGTAAAACGACCCAACAGCATACTAACACTTCAGATAGACTATGATTTCTTTAATAATTTTAATTCCAGACAGTCAATCCAGAAGATTGAAACCTGCTGTTCAACCTTGGGGCGACTAAAAGCATTGACAGGAATGAGCTTTATCTGGAGCAGTTTTGTTCTGGAACTCTAGGAGACTATGGGTCACCCCATACTTGAACTGGCTGGGACTGAGATGTCAGGAGCATCAGCAGTGGTGTCAACCATGACAGACAACCTGCAACAAGAACACCTTTTCTGCTGAGAACCACGTCAGAATCCCAGTCCACTGATCAGAGCCTACAAAACAGCTACTACACAATAATGATTTACAGCTTTTGGTGATCTACATAGGAAAGGATCCATTGAGTTATGGGAGAGCTATAAAGCAGAGAGCTGCTCACTAATTTCATGTCTAAGCCCGAACAGGAACTAGAAACTGGAATTCCTTCTCCCTGTCTTTCCTCAAAAGGTTAGTTGGCACTCTCACAAAGCACAGCCACTCAGTATAGTCAGGCATAAAATGTCCTGCTGATTTTTTTAAGCCAAAAGATGGGAAGACATTGCCCTTTAACAATGGCTGTTTGAGCACTTACCTAGCACATGGCAAACCTAATTGCATACCTACTCTCAGAGGATTCAAACGCTCAAATTCCACTGTTGAGAAAGAGCCTTAACAAGTGATTTGTAGGTGTTTTGGGAATGTGTCTGGAGGGCTGGTGAGAGCGTGCTCAAGTCCAGCCTCCCAAGGCTGTTCTGCAGTGCAGAGAATATGCAACTCATGATTCACCTGGCTGGCAAGAGAGCAGAAAGAAGATGACTCCTCATCTGAGTTTTAAGTCACTTGCGGTGGGAAGGAGGGATACCACACCTGGCTTCCACTAATCACTCCCAAATGATTGTTCAACAGAAGAGCATACATAGACATATACAGCAATACAGAATGTGTGAAAACAAGGGCAGTCTCACACCATTCAGAGAATTATGATTTATTGATAAGTGCTCCAGAAGTAAAATTCTGTCCTTTCTGCTCAACAACAAGGCTCAGGCTGGGGGATGACAGTTTGTCCATCAAGAGAAAGCTAAAACTGTCTCTGTTGCAAGTGATCAGCTGCCAGAAAATCCAATACTCCCATTAAGTTTTCAGCTTTCCATTGTAGAAGTAGAAATGCTAGGACGTGAGTTGGCCTCTTGGGCAAACTCCCACCCTACCTCCTGAAATTATAAATCACTGCGTAACCTTCATGAAGAGTTAGTCCCTGTGTTGAAGAGAACAGACTCCAGATCCACCTTGGGCAGTTCTGTGACCTTATGTATGTAACAAGATGTGAATGGTACAGACCTGTAATCTGTCTTTTACATAGCATCTCTAAGTGTATATAAACCTTGCATCCACTTTACAGGGACAGAGTTCATATCAACAGAGTCAGTTTCTCTGCTGCTCTGTTTTCTTTCCTACAGATAAAGTAAATAAACTGCTTCATTCTAACCTGCTATAAATTGTATTCTGTTTTTTCCCATGGTACTGGTGATAAAATAGAGGTTCCCACTCAGTGGTCTGTGGTTACAATCAATCTGAGGAACTGTTGCTTGTGGTCTGTGGCTAAGTTACTGGTCATGTCACCCTGGAAATTTATTATTTTTTTTTTGCCAGTGGAAGAAAAAGCAAACACTAAAGAGGTTTTCAAATGCTCCAAACTTACAGACTTTCAAGAGCTGTTGGACTCTACACTGCACATTATGACTTTGAAAATCCCCAGTGCATTTTCCTAATAGTATTTTTTGCATAGGCAGTTCTTGCAACTCTTGCAGCAGAAGAATGGGACCTCTCATAAAAGGAAAGATGAACCATGTGATCATGATTTGGCAAGGAGACATCTGTGAGGTGATGTGTGCTGGAATCAGGTCCCACTCATAATGAAATACTCATTTTCTAGTATTGATAGCTTGAGAGAAATTAATTATAATCTCTTTTTTCTGTTTTTGACTTACTGGGAAGGCTTTTCTTTGCACTCACTTTGGAGTGAAAAGTGCAAATCTTGGACTTTAGATTAGTACACTTTTCAGTGCGTTATTCTAATGATGACATACTGCTTCCAGTACTCTTTGTACTCAATTCATGTTCTGTTTTTTCCCCGCTGGCAGTTGGCAGGCACCAGTCACAGGGTGACAGACATATCTCTAAGCCTGTGGGGAGATAAGTTGCCACATATTGATGTAATTAATTTAATGAGATGCAGGAGGAACAAAATGGCTAGAACAATAGGCTTTCCGCTTTCTCATTGCTGTTGAAAGCTGCATTTTCTAAGAGTTAACCACACAAACAAGGTACAATATACACAATTTAACCTAAGGACTGATGCAAGAACTGTTTTCTTAACTGCAGTTGCAAGGCCTGTGCTCTTTTCCACACCAGTGCCTCCCAACAGCAGATATCAAATGGATCACACTGGTTCCAAAGGTCCTGAAGGAGATCTGTAATTGTTATCGTACAGTTCCCCAGTGGTCACACCCCAATACACATACTTATACCCACCAATTAGCACTTTTTCTAAATAAACTTCAGGTAAAATGTATTCCTTCCCATTTAGACAAATATATATAAATATATAACCAGAAACAAACGGACTTACAAACAAAACTTCTTTGAATGAGATCCAACAGGGACTACATAAACAAAAAAATAACTCGTCGTATGGGTTACTAAAAGCTGGTGGGAAGGGCCCCAAAGACATTACTGTGATCTTCATGGACCAATAGAGGAGGAAAGTATGACCTACCCACTGAGTGCTGCTTCATAGGCTGGGGCACTGCAGGACCACAACAGTGCATGGCGCTGGGGAGAAGCCCTCCCCCAGCAGTGCACAGTTGGGCCCCATCTCTGTCCCATGGCTGTCCCAAAGGCAAGACATGCTCAGGAGGGGCAATGAGGCATTTTCCCATTGAGTTAATGCAGCCAGGTGCATTGGCACCATCTGCGGTCCAACCAACAGTATCTAGCATTCTCTCAAGATCTGGTTTCACAACATATTTTCATTCCCTTTTAATCTCCTCACTGAAGAGAATGGTTGTTGGACTGCTGCTCACTGCCTTACCTTTGAAAGATCTGGTTCCCTGACATAATGGTCCCTTATGCTTGAATAACCTTTCATCTCACTGCAGATCTCTGGCAGAACAGTATGCAGAGCTGATAGGCAGGCTTTAACCATTTACCTAGGTAATTGCAGTGGCACTCACCAAACCCCTGGCCCAGCTTTTGGGGGTAAAACCCGGCAGGAGTGGATCTGAGAGGAACTAACGCTTTCTAGCAGTGACGGTGGCTGTCTTGAACCCTTTGCCCACTGCTGCGAGGCCTGCGGGACCCGGCGCATCCTCCCACGCAGGCCCGGCGGCTTCTCACAGGGCCGCGGT